ATTGCATACTCTGCATATAAGTAGTGCACACACATAAAATATGGCTTACTGCAACTTAGGATGCAATTCTTCAGCAAGAATAATCCTTCAGATGATTAACGTAAAATTCAGGTATATTGTACTCATGGTATCAGATATTATATTTAGTAGCTGTTTTATTTTTTCCCTTGATTTGTTTTCCGTCGATCTTGTTTTCCGTGCTGAGCACCAATGCTACCAACGCCAGGGAGGCAGCTCCCACACCTGGACCCTACCTATCGACCCATAAACTTATGAACCGGGATCCAACGGCTTTACTTCCCTATGCCTCCGAACACTTCTTCTTCTTCTTCGCATTTCAAGCTTATTGCATATCGCATATTAGCTTATTGCGTGCTCTCAACTTAGTGTTCTAGATGCACTTCCACAGTTATTGATTGAGAGCTTTCGATGCCTGTACCATTTTTGCATTGGTATAATTGTGTGGCAAGTCCAATCATACTTCTATGCCCAGGAAAGTCGAGAAATTTTCCAACCCGAAAAATTCCTAGACCGGACCGGGAATTGAACCCAGCCACCTCCAGCATGGTCTTGCTTTGTAGCTGCGCCTTTACCGACTGAGCTAAGGGAGATCCTCAAAGCCTCAGAACACCCTCATAGATAATAATCCAGAACTAAGCGTTATACCGAAGACAACAAATCAAGAAGACTAGCAACTCTTCCATACGAACGCTATGAGACAGGTACAATCGCGTCATCTGCCGCTCAAAGGTAAATGCTTCGAACGAATTTGATAGCAAAGATTACATCTTCAGAAGGAAGGTATGTGTATTTGCTCATTTTTCTATGCGTTGCTTCCACCTTCACTCAAACGCAGCGCTATTGTATGTGGTCTTCTTGATATGATATCTTTGGTTATACTTATAGACAATAATCCAGAAATAAGCGTCTAAATACGATCCAATTATTGAACATTAATGGGTTTTCTTTAAATTTGACATGGTTGATGGGTGTATTGCAACAGATAGTTGAATGGACATTTTTCTGTAAAGTTAATTGAACTTTAATCTAATCATAACTTATTTTGCAACTGATGATTAATAGCTAAACAAAATAAGCATTCATTTGAAATCATATCTAGTCATCTGCATCATACGGAGACGGAGAGGAAGATAACGACGAAGTCACCAACGAGCAACTCGTAGCAGTGCCTACTGGATACACTCTGTAGCCTGCTAACTGGTTACATTTTGTTTTTTTTTTATATATTTTGTAAATATGTTATATTTGAGTTTGATTTATTAAATTGAAATTGAAATCTAAACCACAGAATTGAACAACTTTAGAATCCACCTCCCTTTATGAACATCCCTATTCCCCTATTCCCACCCTACATAAATCTTCCACTTCCATCATGCTTTACCACCAGCCAAGGGGGGGAGGTGGCTGTCAAATACGAACAATCGCCGCCTACCTCGCATAACTGGATCCAAACGTAAACAAGCCATAGAGATTAGTGACGTTTAAAGCACGCACACTTGCGGGTGCACCGCCGTGTAAAGTTGTTTATTATTTTCCTCTGGCTAACCTAAAATATGTATGAAATTAGATCTGCCAAAATGAGTTTGACAGCGATTTGTTATGTATTTTCCTCGGATTTTCACTAAAACGTTCTCACATATCGCACCAATACAACCGGACGTGAAAATCTCTATAAGAAACCTACAGGGTTTGTGTACGTTTGGAACAAGTCCCCGGCAAGGTGACAGATAACCTTAGTTTCACGTACCCACTTGCAAATAGTAGATGTCACCACACAACGTAAACAAAGGGACTGCCCTTCACCGCCGCAACGGTATTTCTCTATGGGAAGGCAACTTTTTGTTTCACCATGTGTGGATATCAAACAACAAACAAGAATGCCATATGGAAAGAGCGAATTTATGATTTTCGTGGTGAAATGAAATAAATCCAAACAAAAACAGATTGATGGAGGTTTGTCTTATATAATCAAATGGAAATAAAAACACATTGGTATAGTCAATACACAAAGGACACAATAGAATCATGTTTCTGAGCATACTTGTGCGATGAAGACTTGCAATAAAAAACCGTATCAATAAAAAGAGTTTACTTCCCCATCTTTCTATTGAGGGGTGAAAAAAAAATATACAAAATTGATTCTTATTCGCGGTGAGTAGCAGGTTTGCTGTTTGAACAATAACATTTCGTATATCGATTTAAACATGAAGAAATAAATAAAATAAATTAAAATAAGCGTCTCACAAAAAAAGATATTCATAATTTGCTTCTAAAACGAATAAATTTCAGTGATTGCCTTTTGTTACACCCGTCCGTTTCATTAACATTGTTCCCCACCAACTTGAAGTTTCAAGAAACAGATGAGGCTATCTGTTTTTATGTTCAGTATTTTATTAACTGTACATCATTTCCGCATTCGCCCTATTCAGATAACACTTCTGAAATTTGTGAGTTTGACAGAACCACCAGCACCAAATTTTCGGGGTACACTGGAAATGTACTGGACTTGTCAAGTTGCCCCCGGGTTGGTTTGGAACGAATTTCATACAAGAATGATCAGTAGGCTGATTTGACAGCACGTCCCACCCCAGCCACCAGCAATCACAGTTGACCACAACAAGAAACGTCATTGAGCGTGTAGTAGAGACGATCAGCATCGAGGCCGATAAAACTGCTTGTCACCGTGAGATCAATCTCTATTAGGTGAACACGCAATTCACGACTTTTTTGTAACAAAATTTAATCCGCCAGTGAACGAAAATTTGTGCGTCCGGTGCGCCGCCAGAAGAATAAAATCAAGGCCATCGCCACAAGAAGAGGTAAGTCAACGCCATCGGATCGAGTGTGCGGGTCCCTCCATTTTGATCATGGCGATGCCCGATGCCTGCCAGCCGTCCCATGCCTCGTCAACAAAGCAGTAATGTGCCAGGTGACGCTTAATCCCTTCCCTAATCCCGAACTTCTAACAAACACCTCATACGAAGCATGAATTTAAAAAAGAAAATGAATACACTAAATTAAAATAAGTAACTCCGTTTAGCCCTTTATTTAATTACGCAATTCCCTATTTCCTCTATCACTCTTTTGTTGTTCACCTTGGATAGTTTTTGGGAAGTACTTCCGCCCAATTCCTTTCTGGAGCAGGTTAAACGCAATGAGGTACAGAGAGAGGTGGCGCAGATCGTGAAATAGGGTTGTATTAGTAAACCAAAAAATCAACGTAAACGCAAGTAGTGACGTCACTACTTGCGTGTACTTGCGTGTATCGTACAGTGGTTGTGTGAGTGATTGCTTCACCTCGGTAATCCAGCTCATTGGGTTAAACGACCCTAAATCAAGGGAAAAAGCTTGGAGAGGGACAAACAAGTAGTCTCTAGACAAAAAGACAGCCTAACAACTCGGTTGACGAAATGCAAGGATTGTCGGAGAGGCAGTTCGGATTTCAAAAAGGAAGAGCAAAAGTGGATTCAATTCGGACAGTTGTCGAGAGAGCCGAGAAGGCGTCGAAAAAGAAGTGGAAAGGAGATCGATATTACGCCGTGATAACGATCGACGTCAAGAATGCTCTAGCTGGGAGTCCGACGCTACTTCCTGAACCGGGTTCTGATCTACGAGCTAAATATGGGACAGAGATCGATTAGGATCACGGTGGGAATTCCACAAGGCTCCATCCTTGGTCCAACACTCTGGAACGTGATTTTAAAACGGCGGTCTAACGCTGAAGCTACCCAAACGAGTTGAGATCGTTGGTTTTGCAGACGACGTCGTTTTTCGGTAACAGGCAAGACGCTGGGATAGATGGAAATATCGGTGACCGAGGCGGTCGACATGATTGGAAACCTAATGCATAGAGCGAAGCTGCAGATAGCCCACAACAAAAACGAGGTGGTATTGATCGTTAACTTTAAAGCGCTGCAGCCAGCGGTCAGAAATTACCGTTGGGGAGCACGCAATAAACTAGAAGTGCGTGTTGAAATGCCTGGGAGTGATGGCCGACGACCGTGGGTAGCGAAGGCTATCAAGCTATCAACGCGGTAGCCAGAATCATACCGAACATCTCGGAACCAAGCAGTAGCAATAGACGGCTCCTGGCTAGTATATTTACGTTGACACTGAGATATGAAGGTTCAGCCTTGGTTGCAGCCAGAGTTGAAAAATGTTGAACTTATATTTTGAAAATCACAATAAGATATACATCAGTGCAAAAATGTTCACTGAAATTCATTCCTTGCTTTCTTAACGCAGGTCATTATGATTTGACGTTTCAGTGAATTTCTCACTTTCGGTTTGTTTTGTTGTTATCTTTCTCATTCAACACGCGTGAACTCTTGTTGTTAATCCACGATTGTCGGTTTTAGTACCCTCTTATTTCTATTTTCTATGCAGAATATTCATTTCATCTTGGATTCACGGAAGATAAATATAGAAAAAAATCGCATTCATTTGCGCACAGTGATTTTTTTCACCAGCAGTAATTTGAAGCGTGCTGTAAAACTTTCGTTTTCGCGTGAAGTCGTATTAGTTTTAATTAACTGTTAATATATGATACGCATCCCTGTTTTCTCCATCATCACTTGACGATGGCCTCGACAAGCGGAGAAAACAGCAAGAAACGTAAACGAACGCTAATCGATATAGCCTCCACATTTATCTTGAAGGATGGAGCAAAAGCTTTCTGCAACATCGACCCCGCAGGCAACTGTAAATACGTTCAAGCTAGGTTTGACGTAGGAAACTTCATCCGTCATTTCCGACTTCGACACGACGAGCTGGCGAACTCAAATGGCCTGTTGCAAGGTTTCGATCCGACGGCAAAGAAGCCAAGAGTCATCCCAAAATGTCCCATTCCTATTGACCAGCAGCTGCTCATTGAATCTACGGTAAACCTAACAACCTACCATCAGCTTCCTTTGTCATGTTTTGAGTGGGAGGGCTTCAAAGATCTTTTGCAACCGATCACAACAGCTCTCGGATGTACTTTGAATCGATCCACAATGCGGGAGCACCACACCAAAATTGCGATGCGCTTGAAAGAAATATTGAAGGAAGAAATGCACGGAAAGCTAATTTGCCTAAAAGTAGATTCCGCGGCCCGGCACAACCGTCACATTTTAGGAATAAATGTTCAATATGCTGTAGGTGACAAAGTGGTTATTCGTTCGCTCGGTAAGTGGTTTAACTTGTCCTTATTTTTTTCACTAACACACACATACACATGCACGTACTCACGCATTCCGAAGCATGATACCTGGTCATAATTAATCTTTCTTTGCAATGCATTTCTTCCAGGAATGATTCAAGTAAAAGAAAGCCAGACAGCAGCTTTTTTGAAATCGAAAGTTATGGAAACGTTGGCTGAATACGGACTGTCTGTTGAACAGATTTTCTCAGTGACCTGTGATAACGGGGCCAATATGTTGGCAACCGTTAGAAAACTGAAGCACGAATTGGAGTTGACCCTTTTTGAGAAAACTGATGGAGATGACGGTGAAGAAGGTCAGTCAGCAGAAGAATCAAAGCGTGACATCAGTGAAGAGCTATGCATTGAATTCCAAGAAAGGATTAATCTCGTGAGATGTGCCGTCCACACTCTCCAACTCGCAATATTGGACGTTGTGAACAAGTCCAATGAATCCGTCAAGAGCCTCACTGATGTTGCCAAGAAGTGCAAAAATGTCAAATATCGCACCTTCTTCGAGTTCCACACCGCGTCGTACCCCCCCGTTTGGAGCCAAACAAGATGGGGTGGTATGTTTAAAATGGTCGAATCATTCAAAGATCAAAAAGTTTTCTTCACGACACTTGCCGATCAATTTCCCGAGCTTGGTATATACAAAACAGTTTTCCAAAATAGTACTCAAACACTCATCTATAAAACATTCCGTATTTCACAGATCTTTCAAGCCTTTGGACATTTGTAGACCATTATTATGATGCGTTCAAGCCGTTGTACATCTGCACCAAAAAAATGCAGGAGTCACATGTATCCCTATCTGATTTCTACATGGCTTGGCTCATGGCCACAAGTGAAGTCCAAAAGGTTACCGATAATCCTTTTGTTCCTGCTTTAATACAATCATTGAGGACCAGATTGGATGCGTTGCGTCATTCAAGAGCATTCAAAATGGGATTGTTTCTCGATCCCAGATTCAACTACCATGCTTCAAAATTATTCACGGGAGATGAAAAAGAAGAAATACAGGTATAATATCACCAACACACACACATAAGCGCGCGTGCGTATTACTTGCCTGGTATTCGTCCTAAATTAAAAAGTGTGACTTTAATTTCAGAGATACATAACTGAAACTTGGGAACGGATCCGTCAACTTGAACCAACATCCACCAACATGAACAATGAATCGTTGTCGGGATCTACTGATGAATTTGATCAATACCTTACTAAAATGTTCGGTGGTTCAATGGATACCAGCATCCAAGAAAACGCAACCAATTTCCTCCAGCAAGTCAAGTCCCTTGACTTGGAGCCACGCCAAAATCACAACTATAACGTCTGGAATCATTGGCTACGCCGTAAAACCACGCATCCTGAGCTCCACGCAGTGGCTATGATTGTGTTGTCCACACCCTCGAACCAAGTTTCAGTTGAGAGGTCATTTAGTGCCCTTGGACTGGTTCTCTCTAATCTACGAACAGGGCTGGCAGAGGAAACATTGGCAAATATCTTGATGATAAAACTAAACAAAAATTTGTTCCAGAAAACTATTCAGTCAGTTTACAATTGGAAGGAATATGTTGAAATTTCCGGTGACGAAACATCGATGGTAGTTTAATTTTGCTCATTTTTCTTTTCATTCCATTGTTGATTCAGAACCTTTTGTTTAGTCTCTTCAATTTGTTTATTTTGATATATGTTTTTATTCCAATAATCAATCAGAAGCTAACTTGCAGTTAAAGAGTAAATAAAACCAAAAGAGTAAAAATATGTTGAAACTATTTTCCAAAACCATGGAACAACCTACTCCAATCGCACACACCACATATTATGTTAAACAAGCACCCAATCTCGATTACTGTTCTCCGAGCGATCTATCACTGGAAACTATAGATGACAATTTCAGCAGAATACCAAGCCTACAAAGATGCGATTCCATCTTTGCTATAAAATAGTGGTGGAGCAAGTCCAAATACTCAGTCCGGAATTCACGTAAAACGTGAACAACATGTGTAAGGACCTTAGTGCCAAATGGAAACAATTGAATTCAAACGCCGATTACTCACCAGCCACAGAACGCATACGCAATCTAAGTACACCGTCTTATAGAGCTTATTTCTTCTTCCAGATGATGCTGTTGGTTTCCTTGAGTAAAACCTAATTCACGAAAAAGTCGCAGAGATGGAATCGCATCAACCTTCCCGATGTTTACATCGTTCACTATCAACTTGTTACATTTTTAATCGGAGACCACCTGAAGAAGAAAAATCAATATGAAAAACAGTCAAACTCTTATTAGACACACTAGGTCCCTCCGTATCTGCGGTGGGAGATACCAACCAAAATTTCTTTGTTGTCCTTCAACCAATTGAGTTGATTTTCTGTAGATAACTAGTTTGTTTCACTCTAATCACATATTATAAATCAGCTGAATTGCTTTAAGGGCAACAAAGAAATACCTGTGGGTGGACGATATCACCCACCGCAGATATGGAGGGAATGCTGTATAGTAAATTTGCTCCTGCCTGCCGATTACTAAGATGCTACGAACAGAAAAACGTGCGAAGGTTCCCTGGAATTCTTCATGAGCATGAGTTAGATTGATGCTGTGCACTTTCCGCAAAACAGATTCCTTCTTACAAACGTAGTCCACCGTGGACTGTCCGCGAAATTTATTATTGTGATTAGGATCCCGTTTATCTGGAGTTTTTCTTCACTGTCCTCGTAGGTGGTAAAATCTGCTGGTGTATGGGGTTTCCGTCTTCATTCTTGTAGGTTCCGTGCCACTGCGATTTGTTGTTGTCAAGGAATGTAGCATTTTGGATAGATTTTATAATCGATCTGATAATCGGGGCGCTCTATCACCAAAAACGAATCCTCAATCGTCCTATGACACCAAATGCTTATAGGAATGCCAGCTCCTTTTGCTGCTGATTCTAGAACGTTACCTGAGATACCTGCTGCAAAACGAAAAGTATCATTCTTAAACTATAATTCAGTGCCAACATTTCAAAGAGGCGTAATTGCTTTTGTAAACAATGGCTTTAGCAGCTGATTTCTCGTGAATAAAAGCCCACTCATGAAAATTAATGACATCAACAGGTAGAGGAATGTTTCATCTACCAGCTAGCATTGTAAATTTGGAGAAGTAAGCATTTATTTGTGAGAAATCAAGAGCTAAAGCCATTGTTTACAAAAGCAATTACGCCCCTTTGAAATGTTGTCACTGAATTATTTTCTTTATAACTATACTTCCCATGAGTGATCCTTAGTGAAAACAAGTCCGTTTTTCGATTGATTAACATTCAGCGCACACGGCGCGCAGCGAAGAAACTGGTATGTTTTGGTTATGATTTTTGTTGTCTCCTCGTTCTCACACGTCAACACTAAAGAGACGACATGTCAAAATTGGAACAATCGATTATTTGTCAAAGTCATAGGAAAAGTTATTCCAATCGAGCAGAAGACCTGTCAAATGGATAAGATGTCGCCTCTTTATCCAATTCAGTCTCTTTAGTCAACACCACTGCACGGCTTGCTATGTTATGACGTTTCAACACAGGTATGGTCTAGTGAATTTTTCGTCTCTTTCGTTTTCCCGCTGTTTTTATGGTTGATGGTGTGACGTCAGCTTTGTAAAGCAGCGGGAGAGTAACAGAAATGACAAATTCACTGGATCATACCTGTTTACATCTGATTGAGTAAGGTTAAACGACGAGGAGACGGTACGTCTTTCGCACTTTTATTTGGAAATAAAAAATAATGCTACCAAGATATTCAATTCATTTTTCAACCAAAATTATTTGTTGAGGTGCCGCGTTGCTATGCTTGGAAAATTCATTACGTAAATATAAAGTGAAATGAATGAATTTTGCAGTCCTTGTGACATGACAAGATGAACGTGAATTATTTCCGGGTTCATTCTCATAGAATCCAAATACGAATGAGTGTAGAAAGATTGCGTGAAATATAAAATGCACAGAAAGTGGAAGCAAAAATCATTAGTGCCACAACAGTTCATTGGGTAGAAATCATGGAAAGATGTATACTGAATTCCGTATTGACTCAGCTCTCGCTGCGTCAGCAAAATGAATTTGATTTTTTGCAACTCTGGTTGCAGCGCTGAAAACCAAGCGGAATTTAAGGAAACTGAACAGTACGTACCGGCTCAACAAACCGTACACAAACTTTTCGAGACGTTTGGTGTACCCTTTGTTGTAAGAATAGTAAACATTTATCAGTAATGCCATTAGTAGTGGATAAATAGTGGTTACTCGACAAACAAATTGAGCTGAGCAAAAGCTGAATAAGCCATTTTTCGACTGAAGAAGCAAATTTTTGCCTGAAGAAGCTTTTATTCAGCTTACAATTTTGTTGGGTAAAATTGATTTAAAAATTATTTGATGGTTAAAATAAAATATTGAAAAAGAAAATTTCCCGATTTAGTCAGCTTCCCGTTTTTGTCAACCTGAAATTTCAGATAGGGCTGACAAAAACGGGAAAGTACTGTATTTAAATTTCTTCCTTAGTAATTCCGATAAAAACTTCAAACCATTTGCGCGACCTCAAAGCCTTCATCAATGTTTACCATTTTTTGCACAGGGGCTATAAATCAAACTACAGGGTGGCCTCAAAGATAGCAAATCCTTTTTTATCTTTCAATAAATCACCCTACTGTCCACAGACAGAAGCCTTCTATGTGGCTGAGAAGAAGATATTCCCTGCGTGTTCATTTTCTAATTCCCTACTTACTGCGCTTTTTGGAAAATTACTCTAATTAAAAGTTGGCTTATTTACTTCAAAACATGTTTCTTGATAAATACGCGATGGTTTGACATTGATAGGTAGCTTTGTAACAAAATGGTAACGGAAACCGACATGTGTTGTACAACGGTTAAATTTATCGATAGTATTAGCGGGGAAACCCCTTAATACATCATACTCCATCCATTTAATCGTATAACGATGTTAACATTGATTTCAATTGCTGATTTAATTGAACGACAACAATTACCAAATCACCTCTAGCTTTAAATAAAATGTAGCAAATTTACATTAAATCAGTCATTTGACAGTTTCATCAAAAGCTAGATTGCAAACATCGTTAGTCCAGTGAATGTTATTTTCTTTAGGCGCTCCGATTTACAATTTGACACATAACTCAATTTCATCTGCACACCTTCCTATGTCTATAGTAATTAAACAACGACCTATTTTTTTTTTATTTTCCTGCCTGTGTCACTCGATATGATACTATCCCGAAATGCGAATGGTTATGGAACACAGTGGAATTGAAAACAAACATGTTCACGACACGGTCTAATTTAATCTGTCGTTAATTTGATTCCCAATCACCGGGTGAAAATCCAAAAACGTGTTTCCTACCCTTTGGCTGGGTGGGGAGGGAACTTTTCACCAGCTCAATATTGGTTGGTTTTTATTTTTGAAACGTGTGCAAAAATGTTTTCATAGTTGGTGCCCATGGGCTCTTTGAAGAATCAAACGTAGCCCAATACAATGTTGCATTGTCGCATCCGGAAAATCCATTCTCGCAAGCTAGTTCGATAATCTTGCACCTGTTCTGACTTTTTTGTTTGCGATGCAATATTGATGAAAGCTCGAGTAAGAAGAAAGTTTTGAGAACAAATCTAGATAGAGCTGGAATTAGGGCGTAACAGCTTTTGTAAACAATGACTTCTTTGGAAGAATTCTAGGAAAACAAGGCTCGCCCACACAAATCAAGGTCACCATCGATAGGGGAAGGCTTCCTCTATCTAATGCTTATGTTGGTTTGCGTGGGCGTATCTTGAAGTCCTAGAAATCGTCGAGAGAAGTCATTGTTTACAAAAGCTGTTACGCCCTAATTCCAGCTCTATCTAGAAATAGTCACTAATAGCGAATTCGTTTATTATTTGGGTTGGAACCAGTTCCAACCCAGTGCGAAACCGAACTTTTTGTCAGTGCGAACCTCAACCTGAGCTGGGTTTTAAAAACAAACGATCGAACTGACGTTTGTCAGAAAACAAGCAGGCCCAATCTTGATACCCGATCCAGGTTGGAACTGAATAATAAACGAATTCGCTATAACTGCATTCAAATCAACCCAATTTTTACTTTCAGTCCGTCCCACCAGAAACTGTGTACACATTGGAAGTCAGGTGGCAGCACTGTGTTGTTGAATGAAATGTTTCACATGCGCGCATGCGCTGCAACATTTCAATGGCGCGCATCAATTTTAGCACATGCTACAAATTGCACAAATCACCATTCCGTCCAAATTTGTTAATGGGAAAATAATTTGTTATGAAGCAGAAACACTTCAGCTTGCCAATTAAATCACTCGCTGTAGCTCACCTGCCCTGGCAGTACCGAGCGGAAAATGCTATCGTACAAAAGGATTTGCCTGTACTCTACGCTGCTGATGGTTATAGCATTCCATGTGGCACTTTGTGATCGATTCAGCTGGTTGTACAGTCTGGGATTGCAATTCTTGGTTCCACAAAGGAGAGGTAGCTAACTGCTTAACTTAATTTTGAAGCAACTGATTTCATTTGAACCGTCTAGATCCAGCTCCATACGCGCAAAGATGTCCTGCCAATGAAACTTTTCGTGTGATCG